TTTTTTTTTTTGATTTAGGCATCTTTTCCTTCCTCTACTTCTGGCAAAGTAAAACCTTCATCTGTTACGTTACAGCTGCAAAACCAAACAGCTGAGAGAGGGACCTGCCAGCAAAAGGCAGCACAGGTGCCCGCACTGCAGAACTGGCCCCATGCGGTTTTCTTGCTCTGAACGTGGTCGTGTAACTTCTGATAAAGAGGCTGGAACCTTTTACACCCCACTGCTCAAACAGCCCAAGTGGGTCCTGCTAATATTCTCCTTACGCCTGAGAGTATTTTTTTAAGATATCCAGGAAACACAAGTTGAAAATCACAGGTTCCAAGAAATATAAACAAACTGCACGTTTGAGAAGATAGCRTACTAACAAGAAAAATAATTTTATTTAAGACAATATTTACAAAAAATGGTAAGAAGGAAAATGTGAAATATTTCAATGACAATAAAATAACAATAAAACAATGAGTTCGTGTTTCAGTTTTTACCATCACCACAACAGAACAAGATATATGAATATCACAGAAAAAAAACAGGGAAACACTGGTTTTATTATACAGCTATGCATGGGGTGATGATTTCATCTTGCACAAGTCAGTACTTCTGACCACATTCGTAAGAAGTTTGCCAAAGAATCAGCTAACAGTTCACAGAACTCTCCTTTTCACTCYGAGGAAAGCAAACAATTCACATTCATATAATATTCCTGCTCAATACTAGATCTACGCCAAAGTTCAGTTTTAGTGAAAACATTACTTAGAAAGGGCAGCAGTCCTGATCACCTTTTCCACTTTCCACACAGTCAGTCATAACATATCTAAAGAGCTTGTAGTTGAAGAAGAAGTTCTAAGAAATATTCCAGGAAAAGACTTGGGAGATGAAAAATCAGAATTGAAAACAATCTCATAAGGACTTAAATTTCTCATTTGTGGACCATCCAAGTCCTGATTACCTCTTGCTCTGTAAAATTTAGACATCTTTCCCTCAGAGAAGAAATAATTTGCCCAGGTATCACAAGTCTTTAACGGGTATACACTTWACCCTACTGCATCCTTTAAGGAACTCACAACTGTAAGGTCATGGTATACACAGGCACTGTTTTTTCCTTCCCCAAAGCCCTCAATTCTTCAAAAGCTAAAAAGCACATCTGTGATTACAAAACTCTAATTCCTGTGTTTCTCAAATAAGTATTCCAAGTAGAATAAAACGCACAAAATCCATTTATTTATTACCCAGACAGGAAAAGAAGTGAAAGAAAAACCCAGCCCAATAGCTGGACTATATGAAAACTTATTACAAGAAGCTTTCTTTCCTCTCCTGTTGAAAAAGCAGCAACTATTCAACCCTATCAAAGGGCCCTATCAAGGCCTGACCTTTCACTCTAAATTGACAACTAAAAAATGATATAACTCATTACTTTAAAAAAAAAAAATTCAAGCCTTTAAATTTTCTTCACAAACCAAAGAGATTATTACCTTGAAACATCCAGCCTTGAGATCAAAGGCACCAGACAACACACGAAAATGATGTCTAAGCAACTGAGCTCACAAGGCAAAGTCTGATTTGGAAATAATCCAAGATGCTAATATTCCTGCTCCAAAATTTTAAACACAGGAAAAGCCAAGCATTCACTAACATCTGAATAAGCTTACCAAAAATTCTTGCTTGTCAGTAAAATTTCTATGGAATTTTCATGAAAATCRGTAACTATATCAACCACAAAACTGATTACTCTATAGACTATAAATTTTCTTATGTAATTCAAACAAGACTTAAAAAGAAGAATAATTAATGACAAACCTCTGTGATGCTTCAAAGGAGACAGACAGGAAGGAGCACTTCATTATTTACTCAAAACTAAGGGAACAGTGCATAGAAAAATATCCCCACCAAGATAACTAGAAAAGGGCAACAGAAGTGAAACAAAGCGAAACAGCCTGAGCTTTGGCGCATCCCACCCTCACCCCACAAGTCCAGGCCTTTCTCCAGACTAGTTCCAGAGCTAGGGTGAGGCCTGAGCTGCCTGCCAGCCCTTCCTTCTCCCTCCTAAGGCATCAGATGCCCTAGAGGGCATCTCTTTAGAAAATCAGTTGCTTATGTCTTACGTATTGTTCTTTAAATACAAAGCTATACTAAAACTTTGCAACTCTAGGCAAAGTCAAACCTTTGACTTTCCTGGAGAGCAAGAGAGAAGCCTGGGGAGTCAGTGCTGGCTCCCAGGGATCAGCAACTCCAGCTCGACAGAGTGGGTTGCCAAGGCTTGCTTGGCAGCAGCCCCACATTGCTGGAACGATCTCCAGGCCTCGACGCATCGCACCTAAACTGAGGCTCGGTTCCAGAATCTTCAAAGGCTTCAAGGCACTGAAGACCTTCAGGCTGAGAGCTGCTCTAAGTACATACACATGCTGGGAAGGGCTCAGGTTGCACCTACTGAACTTTAAGGGTTCAATTTCTTYAATTTTATTCATAGGACAGGACTGAGATATAACGTAGGTTATGCTGAAACATAMTTCCATTTCTCATTAACATTTTGTCTGAACTAGGTAAAAGGGAGACAAAATAATTATTTTTTTTCTCGTTTATACATTTGAACAAGTATAAGGCGATCTTTTATTATCTACCAAATACAGGATATTTGAGAGCTCCAAAGCWCCTTTTTGTATGATATGCAGTAGCTGAGTTTTTATTTTGTTCTTCAAGTAAGACATAAAATATTCAGAATATTGTCTCTAATGAAATCAAGAAATTTCTAATCACGAGGATATAMATGTCATGTTCTGTTTGGGATTGGAAAAACAGAAAAGACTTAGCCAATAACATAAGTAACGATCAAAAGATATATTTAAACTTTTCAGTTTGGCTTCAATAGCTCATTCAGTATGATTTGAATTAAAGTCTTAAAGTCATTTATAGATAAAAATGAAGTAATAATTTGACAGACTTTTATTGTTAGAAGAATAATCAGATGAAGACACTGTTTATATAAATACCTCTTACCATAAGAAGTTAAAGTAGCATCTTACATTATCAAATTTCTGAGAAACTCAGCAAAGAATCCTACTCATATGATTTTCTTTACTTATTTCAGAAAACCAATGTTCTTAAAGCATTGGCTTTAGCCACAAAGCAGGCCAAAGAAAATTAATGTCGCAAAATGCAAAGCACTCAACCCAGAACCGAGCACATGCATTCACCACAAAGCCAATGCTAACACTAACATGCCTCCTGAAAAACAAACTATTCTTTAGGAGTGCATCCTTCTATAAACAATAAACCTGACGAACAGTTACTCGGTTTAAAACACTCACCAGCATTCATCARTTGTGAAGAAACAGTGCAAAAGCTACTATAATTTTCTAGGTTGTGTGATTTTAACATTTGCCCAGGGCAACACAAATCAGCACTATTCCACCACTGATGAAAGAGACTGTCAAGTGTCAACACACTCAAACTAAACTGGGAGCGCTTAACTCATTACTACTGTCAAAGGAGGATTTTGTCTCATTCTCCAATAGAACAGGAAGGGGGAAAAAAAGAACATCAAGAAGCATCAAAAGCAAACTTGCCAAATACATATTCAAACAGTAATAGTCCAGTTTAAATAGAGACTTATTCAAATACTGTTCATGATAAAACCTTCAAGTCTCTTGCAATCCATTGTGCCTCAGTGTTTGCAGTCCAACTTTGGCTCAGCTGACCTACAGATGTTTGCAATACTTCCTTCTGGAAAACGTGCCTTGTGGTTCGCGTGAGCAAGGCGGTGCTCTCGGAGCCGCTGTGGGCGACGTGGAGGAGGAAGAGGGAACTGGAGGAACAGGGCCTGCCCTCACGCCTGCTTCTGCCTTACGTAGGCAGCCCCRCGCTCCCTGGCAAGACGCGATGCCCTCGGTGCAAGGCACAGCCGGAATCATTCAGCTGCAAAGGCAGCACGCTCCTATTAGAGCTCTATTAGCTTAGCAACAGACCGAGAGGACGCCCTGCATAAAACACCCGTTCTGGCGCAAGGAATTCATGCATTAGGGCTGCCACTGGAGCTAAATGGCAGCTGACAAGGTCAGAGGCACCATGAGGATCCTTCCTGCCCCAACAAAATCTATTCGGTAACTTAGGAATGCAAAGGACGTGGTAGGACAACAGAACAAAACAGGGTTATTGGCATTTATGACATTTCCCTGCACACATCAGAAACCATGAAGCACAGACCATAAGGAATCATTCAAACACTTTGCTTTGTTCTACACTGATAAAAATCCAGATGATTTTATACCTAACTCACCACTTTCAGAAGTGACAAGAGCAACAAACAAAGAAAAAAAGTCAATGGCTATTCCTCAGCCTGCATTTTTCCAGTGTTTCATTTCATGGCTTACATGCATGAAACCCTGATCCTCACCTACACCTGACCCTTACTTAAGATGCTTGGTAAGAATTTAAGAATGAACTCAATTCGCTTGATGTCCTCCCCTCGGTCCCTGACAGAGAGCACAGCCCTGTAGTACCGAGCAATTCTCGTGAGAGACACACGCGGGGTCTCAAGCAGCAACACACTTACAAAGCCC